CGTGTATCTTGTCTGCCGGAGGCATTCCCGGCTGCAACTCAGGCCTGGCATCGTTTGGGTTGTAGTCGACCACGATCGTCATCTTCGGCCGCTCGCGCTTCAACCCTCTTCCTTGCATGCCTGGCGCTACGCTACCCGCGGCCATCCCCGTCTCTGTCCCCACGCCAACTCCGCCCACCCGGGGAGCCACGTGGTTCCCCACGATCGCCAGCCTCCCAGCCCCTGACAGTCGGTTCATTGCGAATCCACGGTGTGGACGCGCAAATGCCTCTGCAACCGGCGCTAACTCTTCGGCAGCACAAGCGGGCCGTGTTCGTGCCTGCGTCGCCACACACGCGTCCCTCCGAACCTCACTCTGTTGGGGTGCATCTCCAAACCTGCTGTTCGGCCTCCTCGCCTGCGGCTGGGGTTCCGCGGCTGGCATGACAACTCCGCCACCTTTGCCCGACTCATTTGCCGCAGCTCCGTCCATTGCCGCGAGAGCGGCATGCAGGTCCTCGCCAATGGTGATGTTCGGCCCGCCCCCGTGTGCCGCAGCCAATGTACTCTTAGTCCCACGACTCGCCTGAACCTGCGCCCACAGCAGCCGTATTTGATCCATCGCACGCCTAGCGACGTCGTCCCCACCCCCATCGCCGCCAAGAACGGTGTCCTCTCCACGGGCACTGGCGGGAGTGTCCTCGTATGTGGCCAGGAAGGGCGTGGGAATCATGCCAGGCAACACTCCTGCTCCGTCCTGACCACGTTCGTGCACCTGCCTTGAATGTGCTACCAAGGGCGTGGCAGGGGTAAAGTTAGAAGGCGAGCCGGGAGCTTTAGACGGTTGCATCCTGGGCGGCGAAGCGAACAAGGTCCGGTTCAACACCCCCCCGCCACGAGATGGCGCCGCGTTGGACTCGGCTTCCACCCCACTGTGCTTAACTGATGTATTCGTGGTGAGCGGCCACGGCCTCGCAGCTTTACCGGAAAATGCCGATCCCCTGACGACATCCTGCGAGTGATTCAAAGGGGTTGTAGGTGTGGGGGTCGATGTGGTGGGGTACCCACCATGAACCGCTGCCGCCGCAGAGAACGACGACTCCAATTTTTTATCTTGTACTTGGGTCTCCGACGTCGCCGGATCGCCTCGTAAGACATTCACGCTCGGGCCTGTAGCCGACGGAATGTCAACATCGCAGTTCTCCTCGTAGATGTTGAAAAATTTTCGTCTCATGCCGGACGTATGTGTAGACACAGCCACGACCCGTCGAAGCACAGCCGTGTTGGCGTCACTGCGTAAGCGACTGGACCCGCTCCCGGTGGCCCGCAAGCGCTTACCCGCACATGCTGATGCAGATTGGTCGCAACCTTGTGTTCCTGCGAGTTCAGATTGGTGAGAGGGAGGAGGCTCGTTATCAGTCTCCGCCGAGGACTCGGACTCGCTTGCGACCCAGTCGGCGTTGCCATCCTGATCCTCGCTGTCACAGTGTGATGACTCCGAGCCCTCGCCGTCTACGTCGGGCTCTTCAGAGCATGATGAGTGTTGCACTGTAAACAGCACCTCGTTGTACTTCATCCATGCCTCAGGGCCGCACTCGGTGCTGCGTGGACCGCCGTGCTCAGTGTCCCCGCTAAGGCTTGGATCACAACCTGCAACAACAAACCGAAACGCTACTTAGTAGCTTGGTGAGTACCCTGGGTCACCGTACTGGCAGCAACGCCAATGGCCAACGCCGCGATGATCCAATACATGTAAGAAATCACAGTTGGGATTGCGGTTTTTTTTTGTGTACGGAAGGAAGTGTCTTACCCCTTGCCTTGTTTGACTGTTCTGCAGGTCCCGCGTCTCCTGACGTAATCTCGGTCAACAGCTTCGTTTGTCGACGTCTCCGTGCTTCGCGCTCCGCGTGCACGTCCTCTGGAGTCTGTCCGTATGGATTGGGCAACGGTTTTTGGCGTGTGCCGGCGCTGACACCGTGAGTGGACTCACGTTGGCCTTGCGGCAAATGACTGCCGCCACGTAGACGCCGAGATCGATATTCATTAACGAGCACACGCGTGCGCTCGCTCGCTTCCACCCATTTGCTGTCCAGCGCACGACTGCGGACCGTAGTCACTACGAAATCGGTACCGTTAAGGTGTGCGGGCGGCTTCCTATCTCGCATGGGTCGGTCTAAGGTTAGCGACATCGTTCTGACCTCGAACTTGCTTCTTCAATAGGGCGAGTATTACCCAAAGAGACATTGCAAGGGTTTCGCCAAAAACGCAATGAGACAACAAAGAACAGTAGGGTACCCCTACCTTCAACCAACCAGACGCGCCAAAGAAGCTCCTGCTCCATTGTGGGCGTGGCATTCGACGTGACTGATAGCCGTCCATTGAATTCCACGCCCGCCTGGGTCAATCTAAACCGTCTGTGCGTTGTACAGCACACGAAGGTCTGGCTGAGCGACAATTGGCCGCTTTTCACACGACCCCTGTCCACGCGTCGGCCTCGACTTGCGGCAATGACGTGTAACCTAATCCGTTGGCGCACCGGAACCCAGTACCGTGTATCATGAATGTTGGTTGCACCACATACCGTTCATACCGATTCCGGTTGCCTTAACGAGTACCCCTATAGGCGACCATGAGGAATGGTTGGGTCAAGGTTGCCCGTTGATATCGGAGTGCACACTGCAATGCTTCTTCAACATTTCTGGCGACGGTAAGCCACGGTGATCGAAAGCTCGTGTACAATGCCAACAAATAAATCGTGCACCACCGTACTGTAATGTTATGTCGACTTAACGATCTCCATTTCTGGATCAGTCGATTCAAAACCGAAATCTCCAGCCCGCCGCACTTGACGCTGCCTAGCCGCGGCGTCAACGTAGACCCACGGCTTCCATCTAGACCTCAGGGTACACGCTCGTGCTAGCGCCTACAATGCCTCCTAAGAAGTCTAAAGCCCCGGCCTCCCGTATGAAGAAGTACAGTATCCCATACCCAATTGGTGGCTCGTGGTTATCATTGACACAGAAACAATTAGACACCCTGTCCCCTGGAAAGTGGGTGTCTGGCGACATCATTGAGTGGTGGGGCATGCATGTAAAACGGCGCTTGATGTGTGTCATTGCAACAACCCGTTTACCTTGTTGTTATCCATGCTGACCCGCGTTTCGTGATTCGTTTGATGCAGCTTGCTTCAATATGAGACTATAAGAGAAGATCGAATGTGGCTATACGCGGGGACATACTTTAACACGTTGATTGACGGTGACAACACCGCATCAGCACCGCGAAACTTCGCGTGCGGAGAGAATGTCCTGACCTACAAGTGGGTCATAGTACCGATCCACCGCGAGTGAGTAATTTACATTTGTAGTCATCCGTCATAGCATCTGTGGGCAACCACATCGTCTCATGGCGGCACCCATTCTTGCATTCGTTCTTGCAGCGGCCACTGGAGCCTTGTCATACTGGACAACGACCACCCAGTCGACGAGAACAACATCCTGCGACCTACCCGCATCCTACATGCAGACTCACTCTCGTTACACACTGACATCGCAGGACCACTGAGACGTTATCTTGCGTCTCAACTCACTGGGTATCGGCCCATTGTCACGGACGTGGAGGCGCAACTATGGGAGAATTCGGTGGAGCTCGTGACCATGGAGGTATGCCACGATTAACCATAAAGCGTCATGTGCCATAACAAAAAAATGTAGCTCATCTATGACTGCTCCTGGCCTGTGTGTTTCCTCCGGTCTGTGTGTGATGTTCGCCGTGTACCAGGTCACAAAGCAGTCGAACGAGCACGACTGTGGTGTGTATGTGATGAAATATATGCAGGTGCTGGTGGAAACCGCATTTGCAAACACTTTGTCGATCACACTGTGGGGTGAACCAACAGAATGGAGAGAGGATATTAGGGAGGATTTATTCGAGTTTAGCGGGTGGTACCCCAAGCAGATGGGCCCGTCATCTTCTTAGCACTGCGTAAGTCACAGTAAATCATTTTGGAATGATCAATTGTTAGTAGATCAGGGCTCCCAGATTGGTAGTAATGCATGCCTCATTTATGTATTGGTAATGTGTAAGTACAATTGATAAATGTATATGCACATTTCTGATTACCGCATACCAAACTTTACGTGAAACAGCTCGAGGCGAGGCCGTGCCTGTTCCCGAAACCCTAATCAGCGGTCAACCACACCTTGCTTAGGGCGCGTATGTTCATACAAATCTCGCCAAAACTCGACTTTCTTTCCAGCGGGTTCGAATCTTGGGTCTCCCACACATTGTAGTCACAATCACACACCCTAGGTCGAACACAGAGATTCGACCTTTTAGGGATGGCTGCGAGCCGCCCGTAGGGGAGTAGGTTACCTGGTCCAGCGCGACACGTTAACAAAGTAGGGCAACGAAACTCAACGACCGCCGCAACCCGGTATCGATTTTCGGATGGTCTTTGTACGCGCTGAAAACAACTCACACACGCCGCACGTACACCCGTACGTTCACTCGTGTGATTCGAGTTGAGTTCACATTTATTAGTTCAAATTATGTGGCCCAAAATTCTCATGCCTTCGCCAAATCTTCTTCACAACATTAGCGAAGCTGGTAAGCACACAAAGTTCGACCTTTCTTCCGAACTTGAAAATAGATCACACGCGCCCTTACAACACTTGGCAACCGATAAACCAACCCCGCTTCCAATGTTGCTTTTTACAACCATGGCGTCCACGCGTAGCGGGCCACACCAGCACTCAAATAGTCAGCATATAGGGCACGCCGTTCACGACGGTGGCGCTGACACAGAAAGTGAAGACCCATTTTGTGGATTGCCGGAAGACGTTTATCGAAGCGGTGCGTTTCTACTTCCTTGTTTTAATCCACGGGCTCAGTTTTACAAGTGGGAAAGCACAGATCCACGGTGCGGAGGAGAATCTCAGCCCATAGGCACCAACAACCCCGCGGGGCACGGACAGGATGACGCGGAACTCGTAGCACTAGGCGAGCCGGTGGACGCGCTAATGGAAGCGTCGACGCAGATCTATACCGGCTCCCCGGACCTCGGGACAGAAACTCCTGCGACCGAGGAGGACCCGAGCTCCTTTCGGCGTGCCAATGACAAAACTGCGTCGGAGTTCCGCGGCAGACTAATCGGGCCACACCAGAACGATCCTCATCAGAGCCGTCCCACGAACCGCCTTACTAGTGCTGCATCGGGGCGCGTAAACCCTGATGTGGTGAGAGGAAAGCAAAATGCGGGTTGCACGAGGGTCGAAGGCCATTATAACCCTATCGATAAGTCACCAATTCTGGTTGCGATGCGCGCTACCGATGAGGACATCGGTAAGGTAAAGGGCGTCGATGTATTGGGGCCAACATCACCCCTCTCTGCCTCATTGCCGGTGAGCGGGCGTCCTAATCGCAAACATGGCCAGACCCAGCAGCAGGACCCCGTGACCGGGGACACGCTTGGAGTCAGGGGAGAGATGCTATCCGACACACGGGATGAACAAGTGGAGCAGAAAGGGGGGGCAGCGTCGCTGGACGGTCATCGCCATGGGGTTGTTATAGACCGCAATGCAAGCAAGCCCACGGATGAGGACAACGGGCAGGCCGCGCCAGAAGTAACGCTGCGGACAGCGTCAGAGGGCCATGATGTGCGACTACGTTCAAGTGCCACGGCAAGTATGGGCCCAGTACCTCAGGCTATGGCCTTTACAGTGCTAATTCGAGGTGTGTCACACCTCCCAGTTTAGGGCACTTCGCTCTCTGTCCAGAGTGCCTGACCTCCCCTGGTCATCTTTACAGGACCTGGTGGTACACACCAGATGGCTAGCGTGCCTCTGCTTGCATGCGCATTGCCCAATGTACCTCGTGCCGCGCGGGGTGAGTCCGTTACATGTGTGTGTCATTCGTCGTGCACCACGCGATGGGCTTCTTATAAGATGCCATGCTAATTCGCGCATCCAACCCCTCCCTTTGCGCAGCTGCCGCCAGACTGCCAAACTTTGTAACGGCAATCTCGTTCATCGATGTGGTAGAGCGGCTGCTACCCATCCCCTCTACTATCCGCCTACCCACGGAAGGTGAGGCACAGCTATACAATTTGCGTTTCTGGGTATTGTCTGATGTCTCGCGCCATAAACATTGTCCGCAGGTGCTAACGATGCGAAGGAGGCAGCCAACATGGGATTACCGATCAGAGCCCAGGCTCGGGTGGATGCACTCGCTCGAGGTGAGTTGCTCGTCAGGCGTGGCAAACTCCACCTTTCCAGTATGGTGCACATGACTAACGCATTGTCGGTGATGGTCAACCCTCTCCTAATTCTGCAGCTGTGACCAGGCTGCCGACTTTCGACACCGCCATCACGTTCATCGATGTTGTTGAGCGACTGATGCCATCGCCTAGTGCAAAGCGCCAACGCACAGACATTGATGCGCCGTAGAAACACTTTCTTGCCTGAGCTAAAAATGTTGAACTATTTATGTCTTGATTTAGACGGGACATATTATAGTGAGGGCTCTGGTATGATAGTGGAAATGTTGTAGCTCGGATACGGATATGGGGGGGCGGTAAGAGTGAATCTCAGTGCTGTACCTGTCAGAATGTTATTCTTATGTTCTAGCCTGTAGTGGGGTGCTCTATAGCGAGTACAACCCTTCTAGGGTTTGCTATTTGTATCCCCATTTCTGCTAGTTCAACCCTCTTTCTTCTTCTAACTTTTGACATGCTATCAGAGCAGGTCGATCCCCTTGGATCGATCCTCTGGGTGGGCTCACCACCTCGTTGCTTCCGCTGCAACTGCTACTACTACTCTCTGTGCCGCACGCCCCGTGGCGTGCGGCATTTTTTCTTCCCGCCCTGTGCCCCGAGGTGCACGGCGGTTTTCTGCCCGCCGTGCGCCCCGAGGCGCGCGGCGGTTTTCTGCCCACCGCGCGCTCGGGGCGTGCGGCGGTTTTCTGCCCACCGTGCGCCTCGAGGCGCGCGACGGTTACCTGCTTTGCGCGGCGGTATTCTGCACGCCATGCGCTCGGGACGCGTGGCGGTTTTCTGCCCACCGCGCACCTTGGGCGCACGCGGCGGTTTCGCGTTCCGTCGACCCGCACGCCCGTCCCCGTCGACCTGCGTGCGGCTCCTCGTCGCCCTTCGCGGCGGCCCCGTCAACCCGCGCGCGGCTTCCGGTCGCCCTTCGTGGCGGCCCCGTCGACCCGCGCGCCGCCCCTGGGGACCCGTGCACCCGTCCCCGTCGACCCGCGCGTCACCCTGCGGCCCCCCTCCCCGCACACCTGAGTTCGATTACCGCACATCCGAGTTCGCTTCCCGTAAGCTTGTGCACGCTTCACGCACACCTGAGCTCGCTTACCGCACACTCAGGGTATGGGGGTGACGGGTATGGGGGTGATGGTTGTGGGGGTGTCGTTTGTGCGTGCCGTCCCCTTCTCCTCCTCCTTCGTCTCCCACTGCTGCAGCTGTCGCTGAGGGGGGTGGTTGTGTGGGAGACTCGGGTTTAGGGTTTAAGGGGGGTGCGTGGGAGTGGAGCTAGGAGCGTATCAGCGGGTGTGTGTTGGGGGAGTTGGATAGTTAGGGAAGCTGCATGGAGGTTGCCGTCGTGTCGTCAGCAGCACCTGTATTCCGGGGGCTTCGCCCGGTAGCCCAGTCGTAGCCAGCTGTGCCAGCCGCCCGTGGGTCCGTTGCTCGTCTGCCGCTACTTTAGCCGCGGGGCCAGTTACTCCAGTATTCCGGGGGCTTCGCCCGGTAGCCGCTGTGCCAGTGTGCCTCCTGTTGCCCGAGTGTCTGCAGCTTCAGCCGTCGCCTCCCAACTCCTCTCGCTCTCACTCCTCCTCCTCACTTGCCCGTTGTGACCACCACTAGCTTTGCTCATAATTGTGCACTTGAACTTACTTCTTGAACTTGTGCTCAGAATGTGTGGTGACATTGTGATCCACCCTGAGCTTGTACTGCTTTGCTTGCTCTGCTGATTACACCCCACTTTGGCTATGGGGGTGTGTCAGAATGTTATTCTTATGTTCTAGCCTGTAGTGGGGTGCTCTATAGCGAGTACAACCCTTCTAGGGTTTGCTATTTGTATCCCCATTTCTGCTAGTTCAACCCTCTTTCTTTCTTCTAAATTCTGACAGTACCTCCATGTTTGTAAGCAGAAATGCTCTCTAGTAATGTATGGTACACAACACATTGCATAAACGCACACTTATGCCACTGAGGGGTTGATCTGTATCGAGAGGGCAGGCAAGCGGTGAAACCCTAACAAAGTACACTGCCTTGTTCACTACGTCCGGCAGTTTTAGGCGCGGCCCCCTCCTTAACTGGCGTGGACCGCGTTGATGTTAATGCGCGTGCCCGCACGCATGCGTCTACGGAAGGGCAATGGGAGTCATGTTCCGAGCATGACCTGTCTGCTACGCCAATGGCGACGTGCTCTTTCTGCGAGAAATCACTGAAAGGCTACGGCGGGTTACGTAGACATCAGCGGCAGAACAAAAAATGCCTGTACGAACAGGACCGCCTAGCGGCATTAGGCATTCCGTACGGCCGCTTCTATCGGCCGCCGTTAATAACGATCGTACACGCATCCGGTCGTCGCATTGACGCGACATTCGATCCGCGCACAGCTCGCGATCGCGACGAGGAGGAGGCCAATGGCGATGACGGGGAGGCTTGGTCATCAGCTGAGTCAGCTCCGTCGGTTGCATCGGGGGAGTCGTCGGACGTTGCGGAGGCGGGTGTCAGTCGGGATTTTAGGCTAGATATTGCGCGCATTGCGCGGACATACTTCTTGCCTAATGCAGCCATAACCGACATCATCCAGTTGTTTAAAGCTGGGAACGGGGACCCATCCGAGGTGGATATGTGGCAGACATATCGGGACCTTGAACGGTTCGAGGAGGAGTACCTGTCATATGGCGACGAATGGGAGATACGCGTGTTGGAGCTGCAGGAGGGGCTGGGCTCGGTGGCGTTTCGGTTTCGGCCGCTCGATCGTGTGAGTTTTGTGGTAATCCACATTTCAGCCACATTGACTCATTGGTATTCCGCTCATTGTGCAATCCTTAACCATGCAGATTCTACTGAGGATGTGGGAGAAGATGTCCCGGGTCCCCGGGTTCACAACGGAACCACGGATAGTGGAGGTGGATGACGAGAGACGTTACGGGGCCGCTGTAGAATGCGACTGGTTTCTTCGGGCATGGGTACGTTTGAACATGTGTGTGTGTCGTTCCCCTTGTTCTCCTGGTCTCATGTCGCAGCATCGGGAGGGTGAGCAGACGGGGGGTGGGTTGAACGTACTCAATTCCGTCTGTGTCCGACACATGCCCTTCAGGAGGCTTTACAGGGTGCCGGTATAGTGGCAGCGGTGATTCTGTTCAGTGATGCGACCCATCTGACGTTTAATGGGAGGCAGCTGGCTCACCCGTTGATGTTCTCGCTGGACAACATTCCCGAGGCCAGCCGATGGCTTGAAGGTGGCGTGGAGATGGTAGCACTCTTACCCCCGCTACCCGCAGCCTTGACACCGGAGCAGAAGACGGAGCTCATGCACGAGATGTTGCGGCTGGTACTAGGGCCTCTCATGCGCGCATCATCAGTCGAGAGGTACGTTGCTTGTAAAGGCCTCCGAGGTGCCATCCGAATGGGGTGTAGTGTCCCAGGCGTCCAACACTTGAATCACCAGATGATAACACTTGCTTCTACCGACGACCGGGCCCATTCTTGCGCAGTGGGGGAATCATGGTCACCGATCATTTGGGGCGGAAACAGAGGGTCTTTCCACTCCTGAGCAAGTATGTGTGCGACCACACGGAGTCGTGCATGGTGACATGAACATGGGCAGCCACGCCGAACCAACCTTGCTCAATGTGCCTCGTGAGCAAGTGGGACCTTGCGGATCTGACCCTGTGTCAGATATATATGACATAGCTGTTGTAGGCTATAGTGGGGTAGCACATATGGGGTACAGCTCTCTAGGGTTTGCATTTTGTACCCAACTTTCACTTAGTCATTTCATTCCTGTTCTAGTATTCTCACATGGTATAGAGCGGGTTCCCTGTGGGAACTTCGCCTAGGGCCCACCGAAGCGCGCCCCGAGGCGCGTTAACCTTTTTTTTCTCTCTCTCGAGCGACCCTCCGTGTCGCCCTTCCCTCGCGGCCCCGCTGCCCTTTCAGACGCGGCCTCGCCGCCCCTTTTCGAACGCGGCCCCGCCGCCATTTCAGACGCGGCCCCGCCGCCCACTTCGGATGCGGCCCCGCCCGCCCCTTCAGACGCGGCCCCGCCGCCCGCTCCAACGCGGCCCCGCTGCCTGCTCAGACGCGGCCCCGCAGCCTGCTCAGACGCGGCCCCGCCGCCTACTCAGCCGCGGCCCCGCTGCTGGCTCCGACGCGGCCCCGCCGCCCACTCGGACGCGGCCCCGCCGCCTGCTCAGCCGCGGCCCCGCCGCCCGCTACGAAGCGGCCCCGCCGCCTACTCTGACGCGGCCCCGCCGCCTCCTCAGCCGCGGCCCCGTCGCCCACTCAGGCGCAGCCCCGCGGCCTGCTCAGCCGCGGCCCCGCCGCTCGCTCCGACGCGGCCCCGCCGCCTGCTGAGCCGCGGCCCAGCCGCCCTCCCCTCCGACGCGGCCCCGCCGCCTACTCAGACGCGGCCCCGCCGCCCGTTCCGACGCGGCCCCGCCGCCGTCACTCGCGGCCACCCCGCCCTTGCGCAGCCCCGCCGCCTCCTACCTGCGGCTCTACGGCCGCCTCTACTGCGGCCCTTCGCCGTCCCTGCAACCCGACCCCGCCGCCCCCTTCCTCTCGCGCCGCCCAACTGCGGCAGCCGAGCCGCCAGCCTGCAGCAGCCGAGCCGCCCACCTGCAGCAGTCGAGCCGCCGGACCACCGAGCAGCAGTGCACCCGAGCCGCCCTGCACCCGAGCCGCTCTGTCTCCGAGCCGCCCGGGAGCCGAGCCGCCTAGTAGCCGAGTCGCTGAGTCGCCGAGCCGCCCTTCTGCAGAGCTGCCCGACCTGCCCTGCCCGGTGAGCACAGTACCGCTGTCACCGCGTGCTCTTCCCCTACTGCTTGCACTGCTTCGCTGTCGTCGTCATGGCTACCCCTAGTGTCCTAGCTTTTGACGCTGAGGGTCGCGCCATTGACTTTGAGGTCTGGGTAGACAACCTGCAGCTGTTTTTACAGTGCGATAGGGCAGACGGCCTCTCTCTCTTTGACCTCACTTCTGGCGCCTCTCCTGCCCCTGCTGCTGATGCTGATCCCACTGTGCACTCTTAGTGGGCCACCCGCGATGCTGCTGCACGTCTTGCTGTGCGTCGCCACCTCCCTACCTCTGAGCGCGCGCACTTTAGTCAGTACAAGAGTGCTCAGACCTTGTACGACGCTGTAGTTGCGCGCTACTCCTCCCCTGCCACTGCTGCACTGAGCCGTCTCATGCTTCCCTACC